CTGGGAGGGATAGGAGAGCATAGCATGGTAGTGTGATATATCTGGGGCACAACTCAAGAAAGAAAAAGTCATCTTACCCACCTTGGCTTGTCTGTCTTTTTATTGAATGCTGTGAGATTGCATTTGCAATAATGAACTGCTTTTATTCAGAACTTTTCAGTACTACCAAATGAAAGGAGGAACATGTTGACAGGAAGTGAAAGTTGCATAACCTCTGCAAAAGTCCATGACTGAATTGCTGCTCTGTTCATTACTGCATTGTTTGATACAACATCAGGAGGGGCTTTTTTCTTCCACTGACTTGAATAAAAGAAGGATTGGTTCCTAACTGACCACCTCCACCAAGGCATCAGGGTCACATTTCTTTTAGTTATAAATTATCCACATAGTAAAATGGGATTAAATAGTGCATGTTTATGACATCCAACAAAATCTTCCAGGGAGATCATGTTATCCTTGGAATCAGGCTCTTCAGGCAGTCTTGTGGAGTGGGTTAATGCAGTAGCAATATTTCTGCAGCTTTTTCCCCGTTTCTCTTTCTCACACTTGGAAGCAGTGACTTCTGGCTGTTCTGTGCTGGGCCACATGCAGGCACAGCAGGAGGCTCTTGGCTCCTCTGACTGCATTTGCTGTCCAAACAACTGTTCCTTACTCCCTCAGAGGAAGACACAGTGGGCAGATAGAAATATTTTTGCAGGCCAGATGGGGCTAATAGGCCACAAACTGGAGCAATCTGACCAAAATACATATTTAATTGAAGGTTGTTTCTTGAATTTCTGGCATGGAATTATGCACCGTGCTTGACTGGTTTGCAGTGACCAGATCTAGTTTTTCATGTTTCAATTCCTGATCATATCAGTGGTATGCAGTGGCATTCAAATTTCCCAGGAATTGCTTAGTCCCTTCTGAGATCATACGTATTTCAGATAGCCCTCAAGTAGGCTTAAGTGCAGTTCTGCTAAGTGGCATCCCAACAGTATATTGACTATTGTCACATCACTGCGGTAATTTCTGGAAAAATTTCCTTTGCTATTTTGCTTGTGTTTTGTTTGCTTGTGTTTTTCCCCTAAAATGTTGGCTTGTAAGTCTGTATATCCAAGTGAAAGTTAGTGCTACTTGTGCAAAATGCAAGGAATTTCCCTCAGGCCTGTGCTTATGCCCTTCATACCTTTAGGAGCGATTCTCGATTCTCCACATTTCACCAGCTAGGCAGGATCTGGTTAGGGTAACATATGTATAAGAGGTATGCCAGGAATGACAGTGGAATTCAATTGCTGGTCTTCATTATCCAGTATTTTTTTTTTTCTTTTTGCCCTACACTGATATCCTGAAATTAGATCTCTGTTGAGATATACATGAGACCCATAACATTTGTGGACTTCTCTCAAAATGTCCCCTGGACCAGATTAATTTCAGAGTAATGACCTGCTTCTCTGCATTTCCCCTGTTGCTTATTTAAATAAGAGATGCTCCTTTACTTCCTCAGTCAAATGGTAGTGCAACATTTAGAAGATCTCAAAGCAGCTGCTGCTGAACTCTCACCAGCGGTTTTATCATTTAATTAGTGGAAAATAAATCCTTAATAAGAAAATGGGGTATAAAGTGTTATGTAACAGGAAACATTTAATGGAAAGATTACTTAAAGTTCTGTTTATGTTGTATGCACGTGTCCAGTTAAGTTTTTCTTGGCCCCATTGTGCAAGAGAATTTATCTGTCCTAAGTAAGGAGTGAATTTGTTTTTCTAGTATTCTCATCATGCTGGTAGTAACACACCTGGCATTGACATGCTTTGAGATTCTCCAAGAGAGTCTCCAAGACTTCAGAATACAGAGACAGAAATAAGAATAAGCATATTTGGGTTGCAGATTGATTAGTTATGAATATCAGTGGGAAATTTTGGCTATTTAAAAATGTCTACTGTCAGCACTTCCAGTGCTTTCAGATGATGGCTGTGGCTGGCCCAGTGTCTTCTCCCTTTCTCTCCAGGTAGGACACCGAGAGCCAAGAAAGGCATTTATAAGACAGGGCATAGTTAAGGAACAGACTGCCTCCAGATCCATCAGAAAGTAGGTACTTATCTGTGTTTAGATAAGACACTGTAGAAGAAGGAGCCTAATGTGTGAGGCATCAAGATGTCAGCAACAGCAGAGGTCTGGAAGAAATTTCCTAGAAAGGACCATATTGGCCAAAGACACCCAGACAAGATGTTGTCTTGACTGGTAAGATGCCAAGGGTCAGACCACAAAACTAAAAGAAATGAGATCAGACTGAGATGTTAAGTTGTGGCTGAGATCCAGCCCTTAAAAGGAAAGAATCAGATGAGTGCTGGAAGACTTTGTCTGCAGAAAGAGACATCTCTTCTGCCTTTAATTCTCTGGCTGATGGTATAAAGGAGAAGTTTATGTCCTTTTATTAGATAAATAGTATGCCTAGCTTCATTGCATAATAGTACCAGCATGTGTATGTGTATAAAAATATATATGTTGGAACTTTTGTGTGGACTCAAGCCAAAGGTTGATGTCAGCCTAGCTGTGAGCAGATACCTAGTCACTGAGCTGCTGAATGCAGTGCGATCCCACCGCACTTTGCTGTATTCACTGGTTACCTAAAATGTGGTCATCCAGTGAGCCACTCATACACAGTGAGGTGGATCGACCCTGGCTGGACACGAGTTGCCCACCAAAGCTGCTCTATCACTCCCCTTCTCAAACTGGACAGGGGAGAGAAAATATAACAAAAAGCTCATGGGTCGAGATAAGGACAGGGAGACATCACTTAGCAATTACCGTCACAGGCAAAACAGACTCGACTTGGGGAAAATCAGTTTAATTTATTACCAGTCAAAACTGAGTAGGAGGGAGGAGTGAGAACATGTGTAGGGTAATGAGAAATAAAACCAAATCCTAAAACACCTTCCCCCACCCCTCTCTTCTTCCTGGGCTCAACTTTACTCCTGATTTTCTCTGTCTCCTCCCCCCAAGCAGCACAGGGGGACCGGGAATGGGGGTTGCGGTCAGTTCATCACACAGGCTGCAGGTGGGTATTTGTGGAGGACCCCACTCCAGAGCAGGTGGATGTGCCTGAAGGAGGCTGTGGCCCCGTGGGAAGTCCACGCTGGGGCAGGCTCCTGGCAGGACCTGTGGTCCCATGGCCCCATAGACAGAGGAGCCCACGCTGGAGCAGGTTTGCTGGCAGGACTTGTGGCCCCATGGGGGACCCACACTGGAGCAGTCTGCTCCTGAAGGGCTGCACCCTGTGGAAGGGACCCACGCTGGAGCAGTTCATGAAGAACTGCAGCCCATGGGAAGGACCCACGTTGGAGAAGTTGGTGGAGGACTGTCTCCCGTGGGAGGGACCCCAGGCTGGAGCAGGGGAAGAGTGTGAGGAGTCCTCCCCTGAGGAGGAAGGGGTGACAGAGACAACGTGTGACGAACTGACCGCAACCCTCATTCCCTGTCCCCCTGTGCTGCTTGGGGGGAGGAGATAGAGAAAATCGGGAGTGAAGTTGAGCCCAGGAAGAAGAGAGGGGTGGGGGAAGGTGTTTTGAGATTTGGTTTTGTTTCTCATTACCCTACACATGTTCTCACTCCTCTCTCCTACTCAGTTTTGATTGGTAATAAATTAAACTGGTTTTGCCCAAGTCAAGTCTGTTTTGCCTGTGACGGTAATTGCTAAGTGATGTCTCCCTGTCCTTATCTTGACCCATGAGTTTTTTTGTTATATATTCTCTCCCCTGTGCAGTTTGAGAAGGGGAGTGACAGAGCAGCTTTGGTGGGCACTTGGCATCCAGCCAAGGTCAAACCACCACAATGTGTTATCCCAGAGGCACTACCACTGTCGCTGATGGGCTCAGCCTTGGCCAGTGGTGGGTCCATCTTGGAGCTGGCTGGCATTGGCTCTATCGGACACAGGGGAAACTTACAGCAGCTTCTCACAGAAGCCCCCCTGTAGCCCCCTCTGCTATGGAAACCTTGCCATGCAAACCCAATATACACAGAATGGACCATGACTAAATATGCTGTTCAGGTTATCTTCATGATAGTTTCTAAAGGTGAATCTATTGCTGAAGTAAGATATGCAGTTGGTATTCCATAAGTAGAATAATGGGTATGTGAAATAGAGATAATATAGCCAATAACTTTTGAGTTATCTGTGGATGACCTTGGTCAGACTTCCAGCAGTGTAGGAAAGATTTGGAGGTCAAACTTATGAAGATGCCTAAAAGCCCATTTTTAAATTATGGTCAACTGACTTTCCAGCAGTATCTGAAATGTTAAAAATGAGTTGGAAATGGGACTCAGTCTCCTAAATGATCTTTCAGAACAGGTAGACAAAACTGTTGTAAGAATGAGAGGCATGAGTCAAAGACATAAACTCGGTGTTTTTTCCCCCTCTTCAGATATCCTGTATGATTGGGATAGGTCACATTCCCAAGGGTCTGGATGTGAAGTGATGGAGTAGGTAGATGTTAATTTGTTCCTCTTGCTCATGGCAGGATGGATATGTGTCACCTCTTCTTTATTCCCTGGAGGCCCTTGAAAAGCGTTACAAAAACCCACAAAAAATAGATTTTTGTACCCCTTTGTCCATCTCAGCTGTTTCTGATGTTCAAGAAGTGAACCTGCTAGGCAGGGCTAGCCAAACTCTCTTCCTGCTTATGACCCACAAAGTTGTTAGTGTTTCCTGTGCAGCACTTCCTTTGCCCTCTAATACCAGACACAAAAGGCAGTCATAATTTAGTCACCTCCACCTGTTTGATTATAAAATGGCTTGCCTAATCATGGAATGTGCCAAGAGTTTTCATATATCGTTTTTTGTACATTGGTTTCTCTCCACACAAAGCTTTCCAGGAAAAAGGTTTTCATATTCTGCTTCCCAAGACTAATAAAAAATTGAAACAAATTCTTTGTCAGATGTTAATTCCAGCCTGTTTTTCTTTTCCTCTCTTCTCTGATTTTAGCAGCTTTCTCCAAAAGCGTTCTTTTTGCTTTTTCTGCAGACTGTATGTGGATGGACCTTTTGGAAGTCCCTTTGAGGAATCCCTGAACTACGAGGTCAGCCTCTGCGTGGCTGGAGGTATTGGAGTTACACCGTTTGCATCAGTACTCAACACCCTGCTGTAAGTGAGCTTAAGCCTTTTAAAGCCATTTTACCCCAGTTTACCATAGTAGTGCATGTCAGAAAGACTTTCAGAGTATTTAAAAACTTCAATTAGCATAACATAAGTGAATGATTCCTTGGAGAGAGGTGGCGGACTGGGATGTCCCCTGAAGAGTGTAAATTATCTCATACAGGCTTTGTAACCCAAAGAGTTGTGGCAGAGTTGTGCCAGTAATGAACCTGAGCTGGGGCAGTGTCACTAACCCTTATATCCTGCCACCAGCCTAGCCTGTGATTAAGGTAGTCACAGCCCTTCAGCTAGACTTGTTCTCTTAGTCTCAGCTTAGATGAGGCTATGGACTATCATAATGAGTTTTTGAGAGTCAGGAAGTTGTGACAGTCTTTCTGCTGGAAATGCAGGGCCAGCTCGCCTGGTCTGTTTGACTTCTGTAAATATGTAAGCTTAAGGTTTTAAAGGAAAGGGATCAACTTGGATTCAGATAGCATTCAGATGTTTAACTCCATTTGAAAAGTTTAAATTTTAGGTATGCCTTTTTCTTTACTTTTTTTCTTTTTCTTTTTTTTTTTTTAATTTAAAGCCTTTGACATTCTATTCAGACCAAACCTTTCACCTTTTGTTTCTCTGTCAGGTTGTCAACATGGTTCCCACCAAATCTTATGCTGTGTGAAATAGGCTTGCTATATGATTGCTATTGATTTTTTAAGGGTTTTGGGGTTTTTTTTTGCTAGATTATTGGCTAAAAGCTCCAGTCACAGGTTAAGCACTCTGGTTTCATAGATGCTGTATAAATAGCCAATCAAAGCAGCAAACCTTCCCTGAAGTGTTGAAAGGCTAGCTGACTTTGGGAGCATTTTACAATGCACAGCTGAAGCATTTGTCCTAAGATGAACATGCCAACGGCCAGCTCTAACTCCAAAGTGAAGTTAAAGCCCAGTATTTAGATGCTGTGCACGTTCTTCTGGCCTTGATCTGGGCTGGACCTGACAGTGCTGAGCACTTCTGAAAATTATCAGCCCCACCTGTCTCATAGTGCTGCAGCCCTCAAAGACCATCTTGGGCTCCCTCATTTTCTTTTCCTGAGAGTGTATTGATCGTCCTGTCAAAAAGAGGGTACATTTTTGCTGAAAGCCTGGGGCCCAGGTGGATAAGATGACTGTTTTCCTCATGATGGATTATCCCTGACGGTGCTTAGCAAAAATGTCACAGATGATAATGATAAGCCAACAGCAGGTAATGAGATGTTTGCCTCACCAGTGTGTTACCAGAGGCTGTAGGAACTTGCAGAGACATTGCCATAGAAGGTTAGTGTCCAAAAGCTTTTGTAATGTCCATTTATCTGGATAAAGCCATAAATGGGCTTCCAAGCAGCCAATCCCATAACCTGCCTTTGTAGCCAATCTTCCCCTTGTGCGCTGTAACATTATACAGGGGAATCATTCTGTGATTCTGGGAAAAAGTAACAGTCTAAGCCTGCTTTCCTTCTCAGTATTTAAACAACAAAGCACTGGTTTAGTGGATGATCTGCCTGTTGTCTTTGTCCTGGCTTAGAAACAGAAATTGGCACGTGTGAACATGCAAACTGCCTTACGATGCCAGCGCTGCAGAGCAGCGGGGGCAGTCCTGTTGTGTCAAGGACATGCAGGTCTGGGGGAGATCAGAAGCCTGTTGATGCAGGCATTTGTTTCCTGCTCAGTTGTGTTCCTGTTGTATGTACACAATTGAATTCCTCCTCCTGCCCTTCCCTCCACTTAATTGTTGAACTCTATGCCCCATTTTTAAGAAAATGTAACGTACATTAAGGAAATCTAGTGGCTTTCATGCAGAACGGTCTGTAAGTAATGGCTGTTATTATGGGGAATGGTAACATACAAACACACAGGAAGTGTTATATACATGTGGATTTGGTTGTAATGGGCGATTGCACCTTTATTGCATAATATATCCTGCTGGAGGTAGGCCCAAGCATATGTGTCTGAGGTGCCGTTTTAAATCTATGCTTGACTTGTTTCATGAAGTCTTGCAGTCCAGCCTCTTTGCCCAGCTGCAATGTTTCATCACCGAGAGTGGTGTTTTGTTACTGAGCTACAGCAGTTCAATACAAAATGCCTTGCATTTTTCTCTTCTTTTATCCTTTTTTATGGTGAAAGGCACTTATTTTCCTTGCTACTGCTTGTAGTTATCTTGTCACATCTGACCAGACTGTGACCCTTCCTAAGGGTTTGTCTTAGTATAGGCAGTCAGACAAAGATGGAGGAAATCCTGCTCTGCAGGTCAACAGTTTACAAGTAAAAGAGCTGAAATCAGGACTTGAAAGACACTGTACTCTCCAGTCTTAAAGCACTTTTTTTCTCTGTGGGGAGTTTACATGAAAGGTGAGTTCTCAGCCCCTACATGCTGCTGACAATGTCTCCATTCTTGCTGCTCGGGCTTACAATGGAGGTTAGGGGTATGGGGAAGTAAGACAGTGATTGGAGTCACCACTTAGGTAGATCTTTTAATACAATACCCTTGATGGATATGCGAGCAACCCTAGAGTTTGAAATAATGCACAATGGATATGGTGAGATGTATCACGGAACTTTTCAACTGGGGTTGGCTCCTGGGACTAGCATTTGAAGTTAACAGGCTATGGCTTTCTCTATCCGAAAATTATTGTAGGAGGAAAAGGAGGAAACATCTGTGCACTGGCTATTTCAGTGATCAGAACAACAGAACACAGCATTGGCTAACTAAGAAGATACTTCCTGGATATTTGTGCTTTGTTTGAACTCATTAATCATCAGGATTTTTTTCACTTCTCTTTTCTTTCCCAGTTCATTCCAATCCTTCCTTTGTGCTATATTTGTGGCTATTTTGCATTAGAAATCAGACACAAGAGTCCTGTTTTTCTAAATGCAATGCCAGAATCTGCCCATGACTGCACTTTCCCCACCAGCATTTTCTGAGGACTGTGGTATATCACACAGTTCCCTAGCACAATGGAGCTCTGATTTGATTTGGTCTTTGTGATTTTGCTAGAGTATTAATTACAATCAACCAGAGCCTTTCACATGTGAAGGCAGAATTAAGTCCTGACATTATTGCATTCATCAATATTTTCCTCTTATGTGTCACTTTATAAACCAATAAAGAATTCACATAATACACTTGAACTTAGAATGTCTGCTTTGCTTTGAAAGAAAAGTTTCATGATGGTGCATGAATCCGTATTTGCTGCCCAAATCATCGGTATAGTTGACAACTTCCTAAAGCGGAAACAGTATCTGTGAAGTGTGTTAGCTCTGTGCTAGAGATTTAATATTCTCAGAATCATCATAATAGGCTGCACTGGTCATTTCAGTGTCTGATGTGTCATAGGATGAAGAACAATTTAGCAGTTAGCTTCTAATAGAAATTCACATTTCCAGTAATGAATATAAAGCATCTTAATTAATGTTTCCTATTTAAATGATAATTTTTAATTACCCAAACATTTTATTTCAAGTGACGGCTGGAAATGCTACAAGCTCAGAAGACTCTACTTCATTTGGGTGTGCAGGGACATTGAATCTTTCCACTGGTTTGCAGATCTGCTCTGTATGTTGCATAACAAGGTAATGCATGTTGCTTGGAGGTATACTGACAGCTTAATAAATGCAGGGCATGTCCACAACACACAACTGGCATGCTATAGAGAAAGGTGGCTTTGCTCAAAACAAGCAAGCTCCAGCAATACTTGGGCTTAGCTTGGGCTATGTCACCCACACTCCATTTATTCTTGGAGCTGCACAAAACAGTTTGAGTATCTGTCACCAGTACTTTGTTGCACAGTGTTGCCATGTACCAATAGTCTGGACACCTATCTGTGAAATTTATGAGATGGAAGAACATGCAGGTTGGGGAGTCTGAGTGGCCTTTAGCCATTTGGCTAGTAGACAGATTGAGAAGGGAGGGAGATTTACAATTTCAGGCAGATTTTAAGAACAGTGTAGCTTCTTAAAATAGTATTTTGTACAAAGCACGATGCGCAACATTCTGAAGTGCAGGAAGGGGTGCTATGCAAGTGTATCTTCTTCATTAAAAAGCTTACTTCACTGATGCTGAAACCCAAGTCTCTCAGGATAGTAGGCACAAGTGACTTTATGCTTACATTAAGAAAAGGGATGTTTTTTCACTCACTGTTTTTATCATCCTCCCAGCTTTGGCAGGAGAATCGACCAGACTATATAAACATCCAGCTGTACCTCAGTCAAACAGATGGAATACAGGTATGTGGCTAAATGCTGTTTGTAAACTGAACTAGACCTTGGGGTAGTAGACAATGCAAACTGTCAGTCAAAGGCAAAAGGGCATTACTGCAGACGGTAAAAACAGGAAATGAGGCCATAAACTCAAGTGACTGATTCATTACTAGGACAAGAGAGCAAGTCCATCCCCACAGCATGAAGAGAATCTAGTCTAGTAGCCTTAACTTGACTAGATGTGGGCAGAAATCCATGGCTTCCTTTTCTAGGAAAGAGGTCCTTCCAGGCCAGGCCACGGACCAGACAGTTGGCCATGTTTTCTGGGAAATCTGCATCATTTCTGGGCTAAGAGTCAAAACAGCATAGTTCTAGGATCCTGCAAGTTCAAATTTTCTTTTCGAATAAATATTTTGAGAGAAACTAGCTATTTTTAAAAGCTTTGGATTTCTTTGCCTCAAATATAGACAAAAGTTACAAATCTATTGATGTATAAGACTGGAAATTATACTGAACTGTTGATTGTCATGTATTACCTACCCCAAAGCTGGGCTAATTCCTCAGATCTTGGCATCTCCCGTAGCTATTTATGCTTATGATCCTCATTTTACATTGTTTAGCACATGAGCCTAGGCCTGATTCTTTACCCTGATGTGTCTGGAAGCTTTCCATTGACTGCAGCACGCCCAGAACCAAGCCTAACAATTACTACAAAACATGAAATGCAGCAAGATACCATGCCCAAAGGATTTTGATGTGCCTGGTATCAGGTGGAGACAGCATAACATTCACAGCTCTGGTAGGAACACTATCCAGTAGTCTAAATAAAACGATAGCTACAGTAATTATGAACAGTGCACCACAGATTTCATGCCTGGCTGATGTATGTCAGCTGGAATGGGGTGCTTGAAAATACCTAATTGATGAACCTGGTATGAAATTGTTAGGTTAAAATTAAAACCTGAAGCAGGACTGCATTGCAATAACAGACAGTTCAAAGTAAGTTTTCTAATAATGTATATCAAGCAGCTACTGAATTTAAGTCAACTTTCCTTTAAGTCTTTCTTTAAAGTCACTTTTCTTTTGTGGCTCTTGAACAAAAGTAGCATGAAATATAATGCTGCTCATGATTTCTGAAGGGGGAGTTAAACTCAACTCTCCATTGCCATACAGGTTCTGTGTTCACTGATGTTAGTCCGAAGTGCTGACTGCTACCAAAATTAGGGCAGTTTCGCTTTGTGCTCCCTTTGTTCAGAAATAGCATGCCTGTATGACAACAGGGAGCCAAGCCCATCTTTCAGCAAATGCCTCGAATATAAAAGGCCAAGAGATGATGAGTTTAGCCAAGGCTCTGTGTTTGCACTGGTACAAGCAATGTTTCAGGTCGTTCAGCAATGGAGTGAATCCGGTAGCCTAGATAACTTCTCTCAGCTTTTCTATCGCATTAGGAGAGAAAACCAAAGAAAGGGACTGCTCTGCAATGGAAGGGCATTTGATCTTATCAAAATGCCGGTGAGTTAGCACTGCTGGAATGAGTTGGGATACATCCGGGGAGCAGTTTTGGCTGCTTTCAGCTGTTACGGCAGCTCAAAACAGCTGGCAAACTACTCTCAGGGAGAAATGTAAGATTTCCCTTGTTACTTTTTCAGACCTAGTCATCTTAATAGTTACTTGTACAAAGTTAAAAAAAGACTTCAGACAGAAATATGATTTTTGCATCAGCAGTGTTTCTTCCAGCTTAGCATTAAAAACCAATGAGGGAATGAATAGCAGGAGTGTGGTTATTGTTTTATGGCTTAAATAAATTGGTTTAAAAGTAATGGGGAGATTAATGAGCAGCTGCATGAGGAACAATGTATAACAAACACCAAGGAGAGCCATTGAAAAGGCAGTGAACAGAGGTTTTGGTGCATGAAATGTCTGCAGTTTTAATCACAACTGTCTGATACTTGTGCTCAGGTTTTACACCTCAGCGATATGGTAAGTCAGCCAATGTCAGAAATGGGAGCCCTGGGTGATATAAGGCAATTTGCAAATCAGGCAGAATGGAATTTTTTGTTTCTTGCAGAAAATAATTGGTGAAAAATATCAAGCTTTAAACTCAAGGCTTTTGATTGGACGACCCCGGTGGAAACTCCTTTTTGATGAGATAGCGAAGTGTAACAGGCAGTAAGTACCAGTCTGCTTGAAGGATGCGACAATTTGAAGGGTGGGGATATTGTCTGTTCCCAGCTATGTTTATATAAAAATATTTTTGGGTTTTATCTTAGAGTGTAATGTTTAAGCTACTGATGTTGAAATTAGCTAATATTTTGCTGTGAGAGATAGCCTGTACAAAATGAAACATTTTTTTCACACTCGGAACAGCTCATCTTTTTATGCAGCTAGGATGTTCAGTGGCCCAGAAAATAAAAGTAATAGATTTCCATCTCATTGCACAGAGATCGCATATGTTTTTGTCTGTGGCAATATCTTGCTTGCAACATATGCTGGTCTTATATATAAAGTTTCATTTTTAAAAATTGTTGACTTCTATAATTTTCATGATTTGTAGTGCTGGTTTACAAACAGAATGCACAAGGAAGAATCTGACTGTCTTGTATTGTTTTTATTCAGAGGATGTATTGTCTTTGGAGATTCCTGGCACTTTTTTATTCTTAAGACCTGGCAATGCCTTTTTACTGTGCTAGGCAAACATATTACGGTCTGAAGCAAGATAGTTGTAAACCAAAGGAGACATGCAATTAGACCATGGAATGTCTTTGTCCAGATCCAGCTTTGTTGGTTGAGTATTTTACACCCCACTGGCAGTTTTCTGCCTCAAAAGCTGATCTGGTAGAAGGAATTGTGTGAGTCTTCCCTAATTCACTTCTGGTATAGTCCGTGGAGTGGGAGCAAACCACCCTCAGTAGCTGTTGATAGTAATCCGCATGCACCAGCTTGAGGGGTGCTCTCATGATCCTCTTCACCTGCAGAACTTTCCCTCAAGAACATTTTGTCATCTCTTGCACTTGCAAAGTAAACATCTGCCCATGGCTTACTGACTCTCCTCTTCCAAGGCTGGATATGACTAGGGGACACTGAGCCCTGGCTCTTGAGAAGTATTGAGCACCAATATATATCACAGTTGGCAGTGTAAGCTGCTGACAATATGTGTCTTGGATTCAGTTCCGAGAGGATGTTGTGGATTGGGTCCCTTTGCCAGGATGCCCCAAAGGCTGCTACAGAGGGACATCCCTAGTAGGATTCTCACACGGTGCAAACAAGTATCACTTAGAGAAGGGTTTTGTAGTAAAGAACCATGGGAAAGAAAGGGAAATAGAGAGGTCAGAGAAGCAAGTTGACTCTGGCTCAGAGTCCTCTGCATAGAGGAGTGTTGACCTTCTATGCTCCATTCTAATGTCTTTTTTATTTAACTGTGTGAATGCAGTTTTAAAAGATGAAAATGGTTTCTGTCACTCCCTTGCAAGGCTGTAAGTGCACATAATATAGATGAAGCTATTAGTGGTAGTCATACTTGCTTTTTCTTTTGTGCTTTCCATTGCATTACTCCTAATTAGACTTCAAGTACCATTTCCTCTGCATTTCCACATGAGGTCTTTAAATTGTGCCACCATTTCCAAGCAAGGTGTCTTTCAGTACCTAAATAACGGTCTGACTCTTTTTTGTTATCCTGCAGTTGCTAAGATGTAGGCTTCTTCACCCTTTCTCACCCCTTTATCAGGGTTTATAGATACAGGTCTGTATCTGTATATATAGTTGCATGTAACATGATAGACAATAGTGCAACCTATAACTCAGCCATATAAACTTACCTGTTGCAGGTAAATATTCTCCCTGTTTCCCTGGGCAAGACAGGAACTTCTATTTTTCTGTATAGTCCAAGTCTTCCCATTTCCTTGTCTCCTTCTTACTTTATTTCAGTTCTTATTTCTCAGTAACTTTCCATCTAAACAACCCTGCTGCAATACGGAGACACACACAAAAGAAAAAAAAGGCGCAGGGCAACCAAGTTGTTTCGAACATCTGGTGCCAGTGTTCAGGCTTTCACACGTATTTGCAAGATCCCCTTGGGCTTGTTTATGGACAGCCAAGATGTTTTCCACTTTTTATCTTGTGTTTTTAGTAAAAGCTGCACATAAACAAACACGCAGCTGGCAAACCTCTCATCAGTTTAGCCATCTGATTGGTTTGTGGTTTGTGAATTGTTGCTGTTGTTGCTGTTCGGGTCCCAGATAAGCAAAGTGCATTTGTAAGTGTCTGAGCTTTGCCAGACCTCCAGAGTGTGACATGGGACAGCCCAGCATCAGGTTCCCGAGTCTTTCTTCTGGACTAAGAGGAGCAGATGCATGCCATCTACTGTTGACATTTAATATGACACCCGCAGTCCCGAGGGTGTGCATTGGGAGTTTATAAAATCAGTTATTGGTCTTGGGTTTCGTGCTCCCTTTCTGCGGATGGAGCAGCAGCCTTGTTTCTGTTCAGTTGTCTCCTGGATGAAAAGCTTATGCCATGCCTTGGCTGCCATGCTTTCTCAATTTTGCTTAGTTCAAATGGGCGCATGCTTTTTATCAGATGGAGAGTGACCTGGAAAAAGACATGAATATCTGTAGGAGAGAAAGGCGTGGAGCATCATGATACATTTCTTGTGCACTTTAAAGGAGAAATCTCTCACTAGGAATGAATATGGGATATAAAAATGGGATATTTAAAGTCCTGACTCTGTCATTTCTAGGTAGCAAAGTATTTCACCTCTCCCTCACATCCCGCTGTTCATAAAAAGGATGTAAGAATACATGCTGACCTACTCACCCCATAGGAACACTGAGGAATTTTTTGTTTAGTGCTCTGAATGGGTAAAATCCTATATTAATGTTTATAATTATTACAAAGAATGGCCTATAACACAGTTCCCCTAATTATCAATGTTAGTGGTATTTAAAACATTTGCAGACATTATGCCTCAGCAATACCTAGCTGCCTGTTTTCATCTGAGCAACAAGATGAGCCATTGACCCAAACAAGTGATATGCAATTAAAGCCCATCAGCTCAGGGTAGTAGTGTGCTGCTCCGTGTAGTAGCTGCTTTCAGCCACCTGCCTGCTTGTGACACAGCAACGAGGCAGGAGCCAAATGAGGTGGGGAGGGGGGTGTCTGCCAGCAGGCAAGTGGGGGACATAAGTGGGGCAGGACGCAGGGCATGAACGTGGGAGGTAAGTGGTACATGGAGGGATATCCAGAGCAGATGCTGAAGGTGGGTATCCTGGGAAAGAAGTTTGAGAGCCTCTGGCTCACTGCATGGGGCAGTGGCTCAACCAGGTTTCAGGAGACCTTCTTGGTCAGCTACGGGTCTCTTGTGTGACCTTAGGCAAATCATTTAACCTTTCTGTGATTCTGTTTACTAGCCCAAAATTCTGTGTACCTTGGAAGGATGTTGCTGGGATGGGAATACATTAGCAGTATGTGCTGCTTAGACATGTCTGTGCTTTGGGGGCTATATATATGTAATGAAAGGGAGAGAGATGGACGAACTCTTTGGGGTTTATTTATCAGTTGTCTGTACTAATTAGACTAATCAAAACCAACAACATTAATTGTCTCAGTTAAATATGCAGTAGAAAACAGATTCTGGCTGGCAGCTCATGCACCCTTTTTCTCCACTGTGTACAGATTAGAGGGTGTTCAGGTTCTGCAAGTGCTGAGGAATCTTATTTGAGAACAACGAGCAATAGTGCTCTCATTATTTCTGCAAATCCAGCCACCAACACAACACCCCTTGCCATTAAAGGGAATACTGCCAGGACAGGAAAGTTTAATAGATATCCGTAAGAGTGAGAAAAGTACAATTTATGAATATTAGTCATGGACTGATATGAGAGATGATGTAATTGAAGGCAGTTAAAGTCAGTGTTTTAAGGTGCCCGCACAAGGACACCATTGCAGTTACCTGCGTAACTTTGTGATACTTTTTGATGTTTGAGTCCTCAGTTGTACCGTGCCAGTGTTGCTGTGCACTGGTACAGCATGGACTGCCATGCTGTTCGAGCTGCTGCATCAGGCACGTACATGTGACAGTATGCATCAAAGATTTCTTCTTATATGTGTTAGTTCTCTCACCAAACACATACAGAGGCGGCTTTAAACTGTGCATTTGATTATCCTTCGTGTGCTAAGATATTCTATATTAAATAATTACTGGTTAAAATACTGAAATGGTCCTGGACACAGGGACCAGAACTCAAGTCTGCAGCCTCTTGGTGAGTGCTGTAGATCACAATAGTTAGAGCCATGTTCCCTTTTCTGTGCTCTCTCTCCACCCCAGTAAGTCTTTAAGATCTTTCTCTGTAGTGGCACAATTTC